CAGCAAAATGCTGACTCAACATTATTGATTATTTTTCATATAAATAGTAATTGCCAATTTAAAAGCTGAAAGCAATCAATCCTAATTAAGCGAGCCTGACTATGAGAGGTAAAAATCTTCCCTCTAAACCATAGTCAAAGATAATAGTTTTCAAAAAAGTAACCTTGAAAGCATTTACTTATTAAGTGAAATACTCCTTCAACCTAAAATCCTCCTTAAAAGGCTTGTTTTTTGCTATGCTTTTTCACTCCTCTGAACTTCATCAATAGACCCAGCTGTTAAATTCAGGAGCAATGACAACAAATCCCTGGGCAAACAACTGCAGAGAGGAAGGCTCTTTAGAATATTCAGAGACAGTTGACAAAAGAGGGACATACTAAATACCCTTTCAAAATTCCATTAAGAGGGCCTCCCCAGTGGCGCAGTGGGTTGAGCAGTGGGTTGAGCACAGTGCTGTGAAGCTGTCCACAGGCTCTGCAGCGCGGGTTCGATTCCTGGCCGGCTGGGGAGATTCCCACATGGCACAGCAGACCTCTCCTGTCATGCCCGCTGCGCCCCTCAGCAGTGCTTTGGTCCCGTCTGCCTGTTCTGCTCCCCACTCTGTCTCTGGCAAATCCTCTCACCCTCCCACGCCTCTGGCCTGTATCCCAGCTATTGTAGGAATAAAAAATAAATCTTAAAAAAAATTTCATTAAGAAACTGGACAGAAATGAACAAACACACTTACCTACATCTTAAAGAAAATTATATTTCTATCCCTCAATGAATCCGGAATGTCTAATAAATAAAAAATCCAACAATTTGAACAACAGTGAGATAGTGTTACAGGTCTCTGAAGATGAGAAATGATCCTCACTAATCAAATGAAAAGTGGGAAAAACTGGTTCCATTACCCAGAGATTATGAGACATCTGATAAACCTTTTAAGTAGATAGATGTTAAGGACCAAGTGTCATTGTAAGTAAGCCTCCAGAGCTGTATGTGCTTTTACTTCCCTGACTTAACTTACGCAAATTTAAAATGGCCAATTTTTATGATAATCATGTACTCCTGAACCATACCCCTTCTTTTAAAGACGATCTTTTCAGGACCCAGAGAGCACCATCTAAACCATATATCCAGTGCCGAGAGACTGAGACTTTGTCTCTAAATGCCACAGTTCTGTTTTATTTTTCCAAAAATCAAAAGATTTCTGCATGTGTCAGCATTCTTGAATTAAAGCAGGTGATTTCAAGTGAACATGCACACAGGAAAGAGATGCCGTCCTTTACAGTATCTATAATTCTCAATAAAAAGTGCAATGTAGCAAAATTTTCCCATCTTGGACCCAGGGTTATCAACAAAATTCAAAATCTAGGCTGTTTCACTGTTCTTATCTTTCCTGTTTCAATGTATTCTCTCTCCTGCTCTCTCTCTCTCTCTTTTTACTTACACACAACTCTTAAATGTATTCTACGTATTTTAACCTCACATTTCAGAATCAAGTTTGGGTTATAATTTATATATTACTCCTTAAGATAGAAACCACATTCACAGAACAGTTTCTCATTAATCTCATAAAATCCCTCAAGTTTCTTCTCAATTTTAAAATGTTATTAAAGTAAAACCACCTACATTCTTTTAAAGGAAACAATTGCCTCTAGCTTAAGTTATAGAAATGGACCCCCAAACAACTTTATGAATGCCAAAACTAACCTCAAATTTTGAAAAATAATCCATTGTAAAATTACAATAATTCATATGGTCTTTCAGCTACAAATGTTCAACTGAAAAACTATTTTTCACCCAAGTAAACAGTACTGAAAAACCTAAGAAATATAAACCAGCTATATATTCCCTTTCCCTCTATCCTAAGACTTCAATTTCCACCTTTTATGGAAAGGAAATAAACATCTAGCTTCCTGTTCAATCACTAGCTTACAGCCAGTCTTTTACACATCACAGAACACAACCCGCCTCCTCCTTTACTTCTCTCAAATGTCTCTTATCTTAATTTAAACCTGTTGAAATATGAGACCGTTTTACCACACTAATGCTTTCCTATGAGATTTATCTTACTTATTTCAACATAAAGTATGCAAGAAACGTCAAGATGTCTATAGATTATTTTTTACTCCAAAAATCTTTCAATTATTTATGCAGTGAAGACTTGGTACCCATGAAAGTGAAATTTTGCTATGCCAAACTATTGAAATTTATAAGAAATGGTTTAATCTTGTTTCTACTATTGTACACAACTAGAAAAAGGGCCTCTCACATCACTCCCCTTTCTGTTTTAATTACATGAAAATGTAAAATGACTATCAATAAAAAGGATTACCTTAAAAAAACCTAAATATTACTTTAACCCTATACTTTCCTTTAAAAATGGGTTGTCTTAGAAAAACTGAGTTAGACAAATTCTTTTGTGCTTGGATGAACAACAGGAAAGCAAAGCCTCCAGGCCTTTGGGGAGGAACCTAGTCCCCACAGTCCAGCTCTGATGTGCCTGGGAGATAAGGCTCCATAGTGACACTTAAGGAAAGGCCTGTTCACATTTGAATTTCTGCATTCCTCAAGAACAATTCATGGCAATAACTAACTTTGCAGAAGAACTACATGAAAGCTTTGGCCAATGAATGAGGGTCATCTGCTCTTTATCACAAGGGTAAACCTCATCCTGGCCACTTTCTAACCTTTTAACCCTGTGAATTCCTAATTTACACATGAATAATGGAATTCTTGCCTAGAGTGCAACTTTCAGCTTCTAGTTCCTAAGTTTAGAAATCAAGACTTGATAGTCTGTGGTTAAAAATCTAAAACTTCTACAGATACAAATTTTAGGTTTCCAGGTGCTATATTATTACACTTGAGAACCAAAAGCAATGTTTGCTGACAAAATCCTTGATCAGAAAATAAAAAGAACACACTTGCTCCCTGCTGCTATCAGTAACTAGGAGAGAGCTATTTAAAAAAAAAAAAAAAAAAAACACACCAGAATGTCCACTTAATGCCTATTCTCTTCCTGTTTAATATGTATAACATCTCTACCCTGAACACAGGACAGTCATTTGAGCCTGCAGCAATTGGACCTTATCAGACAGCAGAACTAACTTTGTGAATTTAGAACATCTAAGAAACCTCAAATTTCTAAAGAAAAAGCTAAATTCACTGTGCATCTTTTATTTTTAAATCCATAATAATAACTGCAATTTCCTAGCAAAATGCCTCCTCAGAATTAAAGAAACTGAATGAATATGAAATATATGTTCCCTCAATTGCAGATTACAGTTGGTATTCAGTAACAATGAAATAGCCTACATAAATTCACTGGAAAGTTTCTGATACTTTACCACAATAGTTCACAATGGTTCAATTCTAATCAAATATTTATCATCAACAATTTTTATAAAGATACAAAAATCTAAATATAGTTAAGGAGCCTGTACCAACATTTGTTAAGACTCTTTAGGTGTTGTTTATGAAGTTTGAAAGCTCTGTGTGTTTTCAACGTATTTCTGGGTGTCCGAGAGTTCTGTCAGGCTTCTCAGGAGGTCCTGGAAATAATGTGTGGTCATAACACTCCTATTTTTAGGCCTATCGGCCCCCCCTTCACCCGTTCATCCTGGCCCCTTCTCCAGTGGCAAGGTAATAATACAAGTTCCTGGTATGAAAACACGAGATTTCACAAACCCCAAAGGATGGAAAAAAAATGCAACTCTATAGTTACATTAGACAAAAATGAACAGAACATTAGCATAAAAAGCAATATTCTGAAAATAATACTGTACATAAAAAAACACGACTCAACTTCCCCAATAAAGACTTTTAGTCAAAGATTACATCAAAAAAAGGAAACTCTATCAGGAATTCTCTTGGAGGGATTAGAACCGAAAGCTTTTTACTTTTCTGACATATTTCAATATAAAAATATCTGTGCTTGTAGTGTATTTTCTACAACAAAACATGACTTTACAAATAATACCAGATGGCATAAATATGATCACGGACTGTTAAAGTCTCCCAGGAAACCACTTTCTATTTTCAATTGTATAGACCTTGAAGAAACGGTTTCCTAAAGATTACATCTTTATCTCAAAAGCTCCTTCTTTTCATTGTTCATCCTGTAAATGATCAATTTGTACATAAAGTACAAAATCTCTTTTTTGGATTAACAGAGCATTTAGTTGGGATGCCTATAATACTATTTCTAATATAAAGGTATTGGGATTTTTTTAAAGATTTAAATTGTGTATTGTAATCTTGAGTGCTGTGTGCTTGATTACCTGAAGAGGTGGGCAGCTACAGTGGAAACAAGGAGCTTCTATCTATCTTAAGGCCCATCTTCACCCTCCACAGCTATTATGTCAACCACCAAGCAATGGATCACTTGGACAAATGGCTGATCTGATGGAATTGTTAAAGCAAGGGAAATTATTAGACTAACCTTATGACAATTGGGAAAAAGTGGGCAGACCTGGTTTATAGTCTATTATGCATAATTTGGAAATGGCATAATCTCTTTCCTTCCCAGCAAGAAAAGACTAGAAATACTTCAATGGCCTCTCTTATAATTAAAAAGCAACATGGGTGATCTTAAAGCAGTTCGAGAAATAGAAGACTGGGCTGTAAGAAAGATTTGGTATTCTAGGGCCATCTACAAAGCACAAAGATTTGCTTGTGCTTTTCAACTGTAATTACTAATTTCCAGAAGAAGAGACTTTAGAACAACTTTTTGTTGTGCTGGCAAAACTTCTACACCAAACTGTGTTCAAAGTATCAAAACTTAAATTTATATAAAGCCACCTCACCAAATTTTAGTCTTCTAAACCTAATTCGACTTTTGTTTTCACTCATTTGAATTTATTTTCCCTCGGATTTCTCTGTATGTCTTAGCATCAGCTATTATCTTCAGGAAAATTCTCAATGATTATGTAATCCTTAGTTACCATATTTGGAATCAAGAAATCATCAAAATGTAACAAGAAGAAAAGTTAACAATCAAGAAATTAAACACTTACTTGATAAGGTAAGATGAGCTTTTTGACTAAGAATGGCTCCATATTTGTTCATTGCCAAGCACTGATAAAATCCTTCATCAGATTGTTCTCCTCGCTTGCCTTCTACCTCAGTGATGTATAAAGAGCCGTTAGACAGAACCTGGATCCGTTTATTTTCAGAGACTTTTGCTCCATTTTTCAACCATGTGACCTTAATGGGAACTTCTCCATGAGCCTGGCAATCTAAAGTGACTGGGTCCTTTCTTGTGACAGTTACATCCTGTGGTTCTTTTACAAAAAACAGTTCACTAAAGCACCACACTCCTATAAAGAAAAAGGGGGAAAGGTATACACAGAATTACAGATATAAAATAATTTTAACACACAATTATAAACAAATCATAGTACTTAACTTACACATTAATAAACCAAGTTTATAAATGAATCTAAGTTTCAGGAAAACTTTTCAACAAATCAAACCTATCATCTTTCACAACAGCTACTTAAAAATTTCAATAACTTCCATGTCTCCTAAGAATTGTGTTCTCAAGCTCCTTGCTAGAGGTTCAAAATCATCAAGAAGACTCATGAGCACAAGCTGTTTGCTACTTTTACAAGCTTGTCAAAAAGATCTTGAACAGAGTAAGTCGTAAAAGTCTAATTTTACAAGAAATCATTAGCAAAACTCCAACTCTGTGAACAAGCAAGTTTATTTCCTTGTCCCTTGAAGTGTTTTTGGAGCCGTTGGCACCTACTCCTTTGGGAAGTGCATTTATCTTTTGTGACAAATTATAAGTCTGCATTTTAATATAAAAGAAGCCCATTTACTTAATTTCTGTAGAGTAAAAGAAATATTTAAAGGACTGTTGACTTTGAAAGGTGGGTAATGCTTGCTGCTTGTACTCAGTGCTCAGTGGGTGATCGAATTAGGAAACTTACTAATTTTTTTAGAACTTCCAACTGTTGGGGGAAAGTGTGACTAATTAGTCCTTAAGTCTAATAGGGATAGGAGATTGCTTAATCAACCAATATTCATTTTTATCAGAACAGAGGAAAGGCTTTATCTTAAGCATACACATCCCTCCCTGTCCCCGCCAGGATAAAGGATCCCATGACCCCCTGATATCATGTCACCTCCTGCCTTCAGAGCAAAGGTTGGCTAAAGTCTTGGGTATTGAAGGAGTTCTGTTAAGTATTAGAGATTTGGGGAGAACGTTTCATCTTTCTTCTGATTGTTTTGAATTCATGACTACGAGCCATCAGGATTGATTTCCCTGTTTCTCATCAAGGCAGGTTCTTGGAAACTTCACACACCGGTCATGCTCCCACGCCCAGGCCTCAGACTTCTCCTGAAGGTTCGCCTAGGGCGATGCGAGCCCCCCAGCGCCGCAAGAACTACTCCGGAAGGCGCCCATTGTGTTTCCGAGTCACATCTGACTTTGATCTTTTTCTCATGCTCACAGAAAACTAACCCCTCCTGGAAAGCCGCGAGTTCTGGGTTTGTAACCTGCAAATAAGCAAAATAACCCATTCTCCTAAACTCCTCTTCCCCCTCCCTCTTACCACTTGACATTTTTTATCTCTGGGAATAAACCAACTCAGATGCAAAGAGAAAAATCAGTTCATTCAAGTTTGCGCAAGGCTAACCTGGTTGCGAGAAATAAATCGTATTTAGAGCCCTTCCTTCCCAGCTTCGGGTACCTTTTACCCTCCCCTCTGGAGGATGAACCGGCCACGCACTTCCCTCCCTCGGCTCTTTGCAATCCCATCCTTCTCACCTCCTCCTCCCTGCAGCCTGGTCGGGTAACCTGGGAGCTCTAGGGGTGCAGCCCCGCTGCCTGCTCGCCCCACCACCCCCGCCCTAGAACACAGGGGAGCCCCCACTGCCAACAGCGGGAGCCGCGCGGAGCCACGGCGCCCCTTGCGTGGCGAAGCTGCCACTAAGGAAACAATATAAATAAAGCCACGTGCGGCCTCGGCTGCCCCGGCCGGCGCGCGCGGCGAGGAGCCGGGCTGACCGCAGGGGCGAGGACGCGGCCAGAGCCCGGACAATGGCGCGCGGGGGAAGCGGGGAGAGTGGACAGCGGTGGCCAGGACCCCGCAGCCCGCGGCCGGGGGAGCCCAGCTGGGAGGGGGGCGCGCGCCGGGAGAGGCGCCCCCAGCCCAGCGCGCGCCCCTGAGCGCCCCGCGGCAACTCGCGCCTCCGACGGAGGCGCAGGATGGGGGCAGGGGCCGGTGGTCAGCGCCGCCGTGGACACCCCGCGGGCCTCCCCCCGCCCCCCACACCCGCTCGCGCTTCCCCCACCCCACTCGCGCCTGCCCGCTCCCCGCGGCCACAGAGGAAAGCGCGCCTACCTGGCACGGAGCCGAGGAGCAGGAGCGCGCGGAGCAGCATCCCTGGCGGCCGCCGCCGGGCGAGGGGTCGCGGGGAAGGCGCCATTCAGCGGGGCTGCGCGGGCATGCTCCCCCGCCGCCCCGCAGCTGCTGTCCGCCGGCCCCCGCCTCCGGGGCTCCCCGCGCCGCGGCCGCACGCGCGCAGCCTGGGCTTCCCGCTCGGCACCTCCCCGCGCGGCGCGGCCGGCGCTGGGCTCTGGGGCCGCGGCGAGGCGGGCGCACGGACACCCGCTCGCGGGAGGAGGGGGCGCGGAGTCCGGCCCGGGGGCGGAGTGAGGCGCGGCCGCAGGGGCGGGGGCGCGCACTGGACAGCGCCGCGGCTGCCGGCCTGGGGACTACTTTCTACATCTGGCCCCTGGTCTGGGGACCGCGAGGTCGGCGCGGCCGGCGGAGGGAGACGCCGGGAGGGGCCCCGTGGCGGCCGGGTCGCGGCCCCGGGTTGGGGGGGGAGGGGGCGGCCCCCGCCGGCCCCTGCTGGACAATGCACCTGGGGGTCAAGCCCCGGCTGAGGGGCCTCGGCCCGCGGCCCCGCCCCCGGTCTCCCCGCCAGCGTCGAGGACAGAGCCACAAAGGCCGAGCCGGCCGGCCCTGCCTGCCCCCGGGGCCCCTCTCCTGCCGGCTTGTTTAGGATTCGGGGACGGAGGGGGCGGGGTGCTGGAGGGATGGTGTTGAGAGACGTGGAAAGGCCGGAGACTTCTCCCCTGATGGCCCCTGCCCATCCCCCCCGCCTTCCCTCACACGCCGAGGCCCTTTGGAGGGAAAACTATTTCCCACTTGAGAGATTTGTCAACTCCACTGGAGGCATCTCCGGGTGATAAGCCCCCCACTTTGGAGGGCGCTTCTTATCCTCCCTGCCCCCATCGGTGCTGCGCTCACTAAGAAAATCGCCGCAGCGTACCCTGAAATGAACAACTGTCTTTTGGGGAGACCTTTGATGGGCTTCTTCAAGTTAGTCAAGTTCTCTTTATTCGTAAGAACTGTGCACACAAAAGGCCCTGTCCTAAGAGTGGAGGCGAGATCAAGACACTACAGTCTCAGAGCTTGCTGGGGGGGCAGGGGAGGGAGGCAGATTTCGGACCACCTGGTTAGAACTTAAACTGATCGGGAAAGACTAATGTGAATTTTTCACATCTCTTAAAAGTAAGGCTAACGAGAAGTTTGAAAGTACACTTAAAAATGTAAGCAGATTGCTTAACGTGGGGCTCACAGAGCATTTACATGTGGATTAGCGTTGTTAATCCAAAACTGAATGCATGGCACATGATAGGGTGTAAGGCTAAAAGCTAACAATGAAAGCTGAGACACCAGCACACCACCTTTAAAGCATGTTCCCAAAATCCTCCTTATTGAAAAAAAAAAAAAAATAGCGGGGGGGGGGGTGGGGGGAGGGATCAACAGTTTATTGTATATAACAAGGATCAGTCTCTTTCAACTTAACTACATGCAAAACAGCAATAGCCTGCCCTATATTGCCTCCTAAGCCTTACTTATAATTTAGATGAATTTGAACTATTTCTAAACATCCGAATGGAGGTTCATGGAAACAAGGATGTTTCATTTCACTTTGCAAGGATGTTTTAAGTAGGTGATAAATTAAATTTACACGAAATGATATTCACTGTTTGTGCTAAACTTTGGGTTTTTTTTTTTTCTTTTATTGCACAACATTCTTCTTCTCTTGACTCCCCCTTCTCTTAGTTCTTTTAACTGACCCTAAGTGCTCATATTTCCTGGATAAGAATTGCTAATAAGATGCTTTTATGCTCTCTCTCTTGAATAAATCAGAAGAATAAAGGCTGGCAGAGTAGAGAGAAGCTAAAAAGCAAAGGAAGAACTTTTTTTTAACTGCCACTGTGCCTTTTCCTTAACATTTCAGTTAATCATAGGAGACTCTGATTCCTATAAAATGGCTTTGGACCTTGAGTTGCATAGAGGAGGAAAAAAGCATTGCACCTAATATGAAATAAGATATCTATGATACATATAATAAAAATACATTTAATAAAATACAAATATTATATTTTATAATGTAATGAGTTTTTTTAAAACCCTGTTGAGTTTTTCTGATATTTTCTTTCCTATACGGGGCAGTAATAGACTTACTATGTTGATGTAATTATACTATATTTATAAATTTGCAGTATACCCAAGGATATTCATTAATAAGTGGTTACTGGAACCAGAACCCACATCTTATGATTTCAGTTTGTTGCTCCTACTACCATATGACACTTTTTGCTTTTAATTTAAACTTTTTTCTTTTTCTTTTCCTTCCTTTTTTTTCTCCTTCCTGATTCTTTTTTTAAATACCTATTCCTTTGGCTTCAGAATTTATAGCATACTTCTGTTATAGGACAGGGAGAGGGGCAGCCCAAAACCCCGCAAACCTGCCTATTCTAAATGGGTTCTGCCATCTGCCGCATCAACACAAAACATAGGAGACTTTAATGAAAAGGAACTTTAATAAAACTAGGAAACAATACAGGTAAGGCAAAGAATCTAGTTTCTAAATCAAGCACCCAAAGTTACCCATCCCCTCGTGGGTAAAAGTCCATCCAAATGGGATTGGCCCAGAGCAAGGCCCCAAGGCCTGCCACAAGTCTAAACCATCTTCCAGTGGGGACCCACAGAAAAGGGTCACAAACAACCAGACAAGCCGGGAAGGAAAAGAGCAAAATCAACATCAAGATAAAAGCTGCCATTGTCACCTCCCCATGGGTCTCACCCACATCTGTGTCACCCAGTCTATGACCAAAAGACAAGCGCAGTTTCTTCACGTGTCTCTAGGCTCCATGTGCCTCCTCCAGGTCTCCTGGCTCCATCCTGCTTCCTACCTCAGTCTCTTCTTCAGCTTCTCCTCTTCCTGCTCAGCTCCACCCTCCCTTGGGTGGGGCAGGGAACCTCCCCCTTTCCTGGGGACCACCCTGTTACACTTCTTGGAATAACAGGGTATGTGTGTTCTTGGACAGTTACATTTTCTTTCATGTAACTGTCTTATATCGTGTCTCATGACATGTACTAGGCTGCATTAGCTACTTAAGGAATAGTTAACCAATTCTCAAATACCCCACAGATTCCAGCACAGTACCTTACATATAGTAGGTAATGCTGCAGTGGTTAAGAGAATCGTTTTTGGTGCCTGACAAGTAGAATTCAAATTTCATTATTACACTGACAAGTTATACTCACAAACGTGATCTTTTTGGTGGGAAGAAGTTTAATACCAATGGGCTGCTGTGATATAATGTAATGTGCAGGCAGCTCATTAAATATTTGCCATTGTTACTTAGCAAGTACTCCCAATAGTGACAAATGTCCTTTCAGAGTAGCCTTTATTTTGAAATATTCAAGCTTTTTAGTCAAATCTGACTGATTTGTCTGGTGATTAAGCTGATGGTGACTCTAATGACTTCTTTGAATAGTTTCTAATCTAGTCATGAAAGAGGTATGTGTTTAACCTCCTGAGTTACCCCTCAGAGGCTAAATCTCATTAAGGTAAACAACTACCAAAGCCCTATTTTGTTTTCATATTCTAAAACAAGGACAATTATTTTCAGACTGAAAAGAGCAGAGCATATAAAACTGAAATCTTAAGATAGGCCAAAGAAAGATTTAAAAAAATCAGATTTTTAAAAAATAAATTCAAGTCCCCTAGTCCAACTTTGGTAGAAAAATCACATAACTTCACCCATCCAATTATGGAGCTGTACCAAATATCTTCAAGCCCTCTGACCTCTAAACAATATGTGGTTCTATGGAATCATAGGGTCATTTTACATATTTATGAATCATAGAGAATGAGAAAAAGCAACAAAAACTTGGGGTTGCTCAGTTTTTCATTTTACAAATATTTATTGGTCTTCTATGTGGTTTAGAAAACCAGGCCCTGACTGAGAATCACATGCTGTGATTTCAGAAATCACTCAATGATGAATTTAGTATCTGTCATCAGAACATTCTGAAATGGATGATTTTTAAAGCAAATGGCACTGTTGGTGAGATTCTGAAATGATGCAGCTGTTGTGGAAAACACCATGAAGATATCTAAAAAAATTTAAAATAGAACTACATGATCCTGCAAATCCAAATTCCAAAGAAATTGAAAGTAGAACCTTGAAATATTTACATACCTATGTTCATTATATTATTCACAATGACCAAGATATGGTGACAACCTAAATGTCCATCAATGGATGAATGGATAAAGAAAATGCGATGCACATCTATATATCACATATACATATATACATATATCTATCACATATGATAGAATATTCTTCAGCCCCAAAGGACATATGACAGCAAAATTCCACCATATGCTACAGTGTGGATAAACCTTAAGGACATTATACTAAGTAAAAATCAACCACTTACAGGTCCTCCCTGGTGGTGCAAGGTGTTAAGACACAGCACTATGAAGCTATCCACAGCCAATTCCGCACAAGTTCGATCCCCAGCCAGGGAGGTGAACCACATGGCGCAGCAGACCTCTCCTGATTCACCCCTCAGCTCCCCTCAGCAGCGTATTTCAATAGATCTACCTGTTCTGTTCCCCACTCTATTTCTGGTGAATCCTCTCACCCCTCCACACCTCTTATCTGTACCCCAGTTCTTGTATGCATAAATAAATAAATCTTTTTAAAAATCAGCCACTTACAAAAAACAATAATGTATGATTCCTCTTGGATGAGTAGAAAGTAGAATGCTGGATGTCAGGGACTGGAAGAGGAAGAAACGGAGTTATGGTTTAATGGTATGGATTTCAGTTATTCAAGATGAAAAAGTTTTGGAGTAACAATGCTTTGGAGTAATAATCTTTTATGTAATAATGTTCATATATTTAACGATACCATACTGTACAGTTAAAATTAAGAGTAACTTTAATTTTTCATGTTTTTGCCACAATAAAGTGGGTTATAAACTCATAGGAAGGCAGTGATGATGACAAAGCAGAAGCCCATGTTTGCTAAGAATACATAGGTAGGTCAGTGAAAAGGGAAAAGCAAAACACATCTTGATTTCAACAAGACTTTTAGCCAAACACATCTCATGATATTTTCTGAAGTTCTGATTGAATGTTAAAGAGATTATACAAGTCATATTTAATTGATGCATCCACTAACTCCCACTGAAAGCTTCCACGTGGCCAAATTTTTCTTTTAAATCTTTTTAGAGTTGGGGCCTCCCTTGTGGCGCAAGGGGTGAAGCACAGCACTGTGAAGCTACCCGCAGCAGAGGTTCAGAAGTTCGATCCCCTCAAGGCCAGGGGGCTTACACACATGGCACAGCAGACCTCTCCTGTCTACCCCAATGCTCCCCTCAGCAGTATATTTCAGTCAGTCTGCCTGTTCTGTTCCCCACTCTGTCTCTGGTGAATCCTCTCACTCCCTGCATCTCTGGCCTGTACTCCAGTTCTTATATGGATAAATAAATAAATCTTTTTAAAAAATAAATCTTTTTAGAGTGGCCTAAAAGTCTCCACTCAGTTTCTCCTGCAACTACTCATGTTACCACTCTCAGTACTGCTCAGCTGAACCACTGCATTACAAAAGGCTCTCAAAGACTCCCCCAAAATCTTCCAATCTTTGCTCCAATCCATTTTTATAGTGGTGGCCAGGTTAATTTTCTTGTGATCAACTTTTTTGGGGGGGCGGCCTCAAAAAACCTTCACTGGCCCCTTATCACCTGTAAGATGCCAAAGTGTTCATTAAACAGTCAAGTTCTTTTATATATTTTTTATTACATCATTCTTCATATTTGTACAATGTATGATTTCCCATGAAATTCCCACCACCAATTCCCCCGTGCATCATCACCATAGTCCCTTGTGCTCTTCCCTCCCTGTCCTGATCCTTCCCTCTCTTCCTTCCCTACAGAATGTCTCTGATCTAGAGTTGCCTAAACAATCAAGTTCTTTTTTTTTATTTTTTTATTACTTTAAAAAAATTTACATCATTGTTCATTTTTAAACAATGTTTGCTCTCCTCCCCGCCCCCCCCCAGCTATAATCCCCATAGAGTTTCCTTCACCAATGCACCCGTGCACCATCAACTTAGTCCCCTGTGCTCCTCCCTCCCTCCCTCTGATCCTCTTCCTCCTCTTCTCCGCAGTATGTTTCTGATTTATAATTGTCTGTTTTTTGCTTTGTTGTGTTTTGTACTCTTACTATTTTTTTTACACTGAATGTCTTATTGGATTCCCCTATATTCCTGCTATAAGTGAAACCAGCTGATATTTTTCTTCTTCCTTCTGGCTTATTTCACTGAGCATAATTCCTTCTAGCTCCATCCACGTTGCTGTGAATGAGTTTATCTTTTTTGATTGCAGAAAGATATTCCATTGTGTATATATGCCACTTCTTCTTGATCCAGTCATCTATTTTTGGGCATTTGGGTTGTTTCCAGGTTTTACCTATTGTAAATAGTGCTGCAAGAATCATAGGTGTACAGGTGTTCTTTTGAATCAGTGTTTTTGTGTCCTTTAAGTAGATTCCCTAGTAGTGGAATTGCAGGGTCCTATGGTAGCTCCATTTTTTGTAGGCTGTGGAACCTGCAGACAGCTTTCCATAGTGGTTGGACCAGTTTACACTCCCACCAGCAATGTAGGAGAGTTCCTTTTTCATCACATCCTCACCAACATTTGTTGTTGCTTGTTTTTTTGATATGTGCCATTCTTACTTGTGTAAGGTGGTATCTCAGTGTGGTTTTAATTTGCATTTCTCTGGGCCACCCTGGTGGCGCAGAGGTTGAGCGCTGGGTTGCGAAGCTGCCCGCAGCCTCTGCAGCACCAGTTCGATCCTAAGCCGCGGGCGAGGGTCCCACATGGCGCAGACCTCTCCTGCCACCTGCTGATCCCCTCAGTAGTGTACTTCGTTCCTTCTGCCTGCTCTGCTCCCCGCTCTGGCTCTGGTGAATTCTCTCACCCTCCCGCGCTTCTGACTGTGCCCAGTGCTTGTATAGATAAATAAATAAATCTTTAAAAAAAATAATTTGCATTTCCCAGATGATAAGGGATATTGAACATTTTTCATATGCCTGTTGGCCATTTGCATTTCCTCTTTGGAGAAATGTCTTTTAAGTTCTTCTGCTCATTTCTTGACTGGATTGTTTATTTTGTTTTTGTTGAGTCTTGTGAGTTCTTTGTATATCTTTGTGATCAGTCCCTTATTAGTTGACTGGACTGCAAAGATTTTTTCCTAATCAGTGGGGTGTCTTTCTGCTTTGGTTAATGTTTCTTTTGCTGTGCAGAAGCTTTTCAGTTTGATGTAATCCCAGGTCTTTATCTTATCCTTGACTTTCTTTGCTTTGGGTGATGAGTCTTTAAAAATGTTCCTGAAATGTATGTCTTGTAGTGTTTTACCTATATTTTCTTCTATATATTTTATTATTTCAGGACTTATGTCCAGTTCTTTTATCCATTTTGAGATGATTTTTGTGCACGGTGAAAGGTAGTGGTCTAGTTACATTTTTTGCATGTGGTGGTCCAGTTTTCCCAGCACCATTTATTGAACAAACTGTCCGTGTTTCATTGCATATTCTTTGCTCCTTTGTCAAAGATCAGTTCTCCATATAAGTGTGGTTTTATTTCTGGACTCTCTATTCAGTTCCATTGGTCTGTGTGTTTGTTTTTGTTCCAATACCAAACTGTTTTAATTATTATGGCTTTGCAGTATAGCTTTAAGTTCGGAAGTGTGATACCTCCTTTCATCAGTAGGGCATTCGCTATTCATGGGTTTTTGGGGTTCCATATGAATTTCATCAGTATTTGTTCTATTTCTTTGAAGAATGTCATTGAGATTTTTATTGGAATAGCATTGAATCTGTAAATTGCTTTTGGAAGGATAGACATTTTAATAATGTTAATTCTTCCAATCCATGAGCAGGGGATGTCTTTCCATTTCTTTGTGTCTTCTTCAATTTCTTTTAACAGTGTTTTATAAGTTTCTTTGTATAGGTCTTTCACCTCTTTTGTTAAGTTTATTCCCAAGTATTTGATTTTTTTTGTTTCAATTATAAAAGGGATAGTTTTCTTGATTTCTTCTTCAGATTGATTGATTGTGTATAGAAAGGCTACTGATTTTTGTGTGTTGATTTTGTATCCTGCTACTTTACTGAACTGGTTGATTATTTTGAGTAGTTTTTCTGTGGAGTTTTTAGGGTTCTTTATGTATATTATCATATCGTCTACAAATATAGTGATAGTTTTAATTCTTCTTTCCCTATTTGGATTCCTTGTATGTCCTTCTCTTGTCTTATTGCCCTGACTAGGACCTCTAGTATTATACTGAAAAGCAGCAGTGAGAGAGGACATCTTTGTCTTGTTCCTGATCTTAAAGGAAAGGCCTTCAGCTTTTCACCATTGAGAATAATATTGGCAGTGGGTTTGTCGTATATGGCTTTTATCATGTTAAGGTATGTTCCTTCTATGCCAAGAATTTCAAGGGCCTTCATCATAAATAGATGTTGGACTTTGTCGAATGCTTTCTCAGCATCTATTGATATGATCATATGATTTTTATATTTCTTTTTGTTAATGTGTTGGATTTTTTGTTGATGTGTTGGATTTTTTTGTATGTTGAACCATCCTTGTGCCCCTGGGATGAATCCCATTTGATCATGGTGTATTATCCCTTTGATGCATTGTTGGATTCTGTTGGCAAGGATTTTGTGGAGGATTTTTGCATCAATGTTCATTAGGGAGATTGGCCTATAATTTTCTTTTTTTGTGCTGTCTTTGTTTAGTTTTGGTATTAGTGCAATGTTGGCTTTGTAGAATGTATTTGGTAGAGTTCCTTCTTTTTCAATTTTTTGAAAGAGTTTGTATAGGACAGGCACTAATTCACTGCTGAACATTTCGTAGAATTCATTTGTGAAGCCGTCTGGGCCTGGGCTTTTGTTTTTGGGGAGTGCTATGATTACTGCCTCAATTTCGCTGCTTGTAATTAGTCTGTTTAGTTGTTCTATTTCTTCTTTGTCCAGTTTTGGATGATTATATCATTCTAGGAATTTGTCCGTCTCTTCTAGGTTGTTGAATTTGTTTGCATATAAGTGTTCATGAGTAATCTCTCATTATTCTTTTGATTTCTACTGAGTCTGTTGTGATTTCTCCTCTTTCATTTATAATCCTATTTATATGTGTTTTTCTCCCATTTTTTTCTTTGTGAGCCTGGCTAGAGGTTTGTCTATTTTGTTTATTTTTTTCAAAGAACCAACTTTTGGTTTCATTGCTCTTTTGAATTGATCTTTTTTTTTAATTCCTATTTTGTTTATTTCTGCTTTGATTTTTATTATTTCCTTTCTTCTACTGGTGTTAGAGGTTTTTTGTTGTTCTTTTTCTAGCTCTTTGAGATGTGAGATTAGGTTGTTTCTTTGAGTTCTTTCTTGTTTCTTGATGTACGCCTGTATTGCTATATATTTTCCTCTTATTACTGCTTTTGCTGCATCCCATACATTCTGGAAAGTGGTGTCCTCCTTGTTATTCAACTCAAAGTATTTTTTTTAAAGATTTATTTATTTATCTATACAAGCACTGGGCACAGTCAGAAGCGCGGGAGGGTGAGAGAATTCACCAGAGCCAGAGCGGGGAATAGAACAGGTAGACTGAGGAAACACACTGCTGAGGGGAGCAAGGGGTGCAGCAGGAGAGGGATGCCTTGTGGGACCCCCACAGGTGGCCAGGGAAGGAACCGAACCGGCACTGCAGAGGCTGCAGGCAGCTTC